ATAATGTCTTGTAGGGTTACATTGTTTTTTTAAGCAGTAGGCATGTAGTGTTAGTGGTAACAACATAAGAAAATACGGTTTTATATAAGGTATTATAGCAAGTTCAAATAGAGCGGGTGAAAATGATTTACAAGCCTACCTGCTAACATAGGGACCCACGACAGGAGTTGATTTGATTTTGAACTGAACATCTAATTATGCTGTAAACTCGAATGATTTTCTTGTGAATCTTTTCTGTAAGTTATTGGTGATCAGACGTAGGGGATTTGACTTGTGGGTTTTAGATGCCTTTCATGCATGATGAGTAAATGGGAAGGCAACATTGTGTTGTGATAAGTGGTTGTGCAAATGACAAACCTAATACCCAACGTATCTTTAGTTGGTTGTGAATCTTAATGTTAGTTTCGAATCTTTTCTGCGTTATTGGTGATCAGATGTAAGGGATTCGACTTGTGGGTTTCATATGTCTTTCATTCATGATGGGGCGGGGCCAAGATTTGGTGTGGGGGGGGGGTGAGTTTCATACTCTACTACTGTAAGAAGGTGTTAGAATTAAATAAAATAATAAAAGAAAAATATTTGAAATAATATGATAACTATACTTTTTAAAGATGTTTAAAATCACTCAAAATAAAATCTAAAATAAATTTTTTTATCATGGCATGTTCAATATAAATAGAAAAGCAAAAATTAATACTATATTTTAGTATTGTATGTCCATGCTATTTTCATAATTAAAAAAATGAATATATCAGTATTTGGAGAACAATTTATTCATTATTTGTATCGTAAAAAATTGAATTTGAAAACTTAATCAATCTAGTTTTAAATTAAAGGATTTGAGAAAAACAAAATATACAAGTTGAGAACTTAGCTAATCTAAGTTGATAGTAAAGGAGTTAGGTTATCCGTTATTAAATGAATACTTGATTAGTAATTTTTTAACTAAAAGTTAAAAAAAAAAAAAACAAAACCACCACATTCAAGTTTTGAACACCTTACCTGCGGGTTATTTAAGCATTTCCATCCGCTAGACTGATGCTCTTTTCTTACTACTATTGTACACACATACATATATTATAATTACCCTTAGGTAATACGAAATTTTCAGGAAACTCATGGGGTTTACTCGTAACATTTGAGATTCTAAGCTGTAGCTCCGCCATTGATGATGAGTAAATGGATCTGCGGCATAATGTTTTGATAATTGGTTGGGCAAATGAAAAATCTAAAACCAAATTTATCTTCATTTGGTTTTGAATCTTGATGGTTAGTATCGCCTTGACATTGGATGCAATTTTCATGGAAAGTAGAGTTGTACTTTTGACAAGACTAATGAATTTGGTAGCTTTGACAAATTGTTGTGCTGCACACATATGGAAGTTGTGGGTTGCCTGCTTTGAAAATGAGCAGGAGAGCTATTATATACAAATTATGTGAAGCGCATGCTACAAACTGCCATCTATGCAACAACAACTTAAGTTCTTTATTTTAGCTTATATTCATTCCTCAAGAGGCTTGTTATGTCTATATGCTTGCAGAAAAGTCATGTTGCGGGTGGATGCTAAACAAGGAACACCAAAGGATGGGAATTCTTGTATCGAACTTTTCCAGGTAACTAGGTTCTCTTTGTTTTTCTTTTATCCTCTTCATTTTTGCGAGTTTCCTTTATTGTGGGTTTTGCATAATTTTGTTGAGTGGGTTGCCACTATTAAAGTTGACAATGCATTGAATAACACAATTAATATTGGTGATCACATAGCAATTAGGCATTGGCAATGGATGAGAAGTAGGATAACTTTCTGGTTCCTTCATAATTGAATTGAGGATGTGACTCAGAGTTAAGAGCATGTGATTGAAGAGGGATAAAGGGGACACAAAAAACCATAACATAGTGATTATTGATTTATCATATGAAAAAGCATGAGACGTATCCTAGCAAAAAACTTTTCTGTTGTTTAACTGATCATATTGATTTAAGGGTCGCCATCACATTATGATGATAGTTTTTTGCCCTTTAGATGCCTCTAAAGAGATAACTCTCAGATAAAAAAAAGACAGGCTATAGTTTGCCACTAAGCCTCTCTCATAAAACATAACAAATTATCCAACTTGCGAAGGAAACGCACATGGATACAAAAATGTTATCGACAAAAAGAATTGCAATGACAGGAAATAGTCATGCCAAATCATCCTAATATAAATAACAAGCATGCTTATCCTTGGTGGTTTACTTGTACATTATTTCAGCAATAGAAGAATATTTTCCATGCAATCACAGTTCTCTGTAACAGGACATATTGAATTAATTCGTTGGTACTCGTTTGATAAGAATGTTATGGGATAAAGAATGTTAGGTTGTAATCTGATCTGGCTGGCACCCAATTGATTTTTTTTTTAAATTTGATCTTCACTGCAGGTAGAGATATATCCTCTGAAAATTCACTTGACAGAGACTATGTACAGAATGATGTGGACATATTTATTTCCTGAAGAAGAGCAAGATTCACAACGCCGGCAGGTTAGTTGGAGAATCGCCTTCTCAAATTCATGAGCCAAAAAGTTATTTTAACTTAAAAAAACGAACGAGAAAGCATGTCATAAATAAAGAAACTGTTTTGTCCACATTTTTTTGGGGATGTAGGAAGTCTGGAAAGTTTCAACAACTGCTACTGCAAGACGTCTTAAGAAGGGCATGCTAGCCAGTGAAGCTCCTTCGACGTCCAGCCATGGAGGCAACAAGGAACCTGATCTTTTGTCCAAGTTGACTGGCGGCACTGGGAACAAGCTCAGGCGGACTTCTTCTTTTGACCGAACATGGGAGGAAACTGTAGCTGAAACTGTTGCAGATGAACTTTTGCAAGCTCATTCGTCCGGAAAAAGCGAGCCTCTGGCGATCGAAGCAGCAGATGATAAAAATAAGCCAAAAGATTCGAAGAAGTCTGGTCGCCCATCTCAAGAAGAGAAGAAGTCGCTGAAAACCCAAGACGAAAAGATATCTCGTCCGCGTAAAGTGATGGAATTCCAGAACATCAAGATCAGTCAGGTTTTGTTATCTGACCCGTATTTCAATCATTTGATTTTTTTTCCCCACCCTCTTTGTATATTGAACAGAGTTCATATATACTATAACCTAGGTTGAGCTCTTAATCACATATGAAAGCTCAAGATTTAATCTGCACGAGCTTAAGCTACTGATGGATACATTTCACCGCGTGGAGTTCACGGGAACTTGGAGGAGGTTGTTCTCTCGAGTTAAGAAGCATGTTGTCTGGGGAACTCTGAAATCCGTGACTGGAATGCAGGTGTTCATCTTCTCCTTCTCTTGCACATAAAAACTATTTGAGATCCGGCAAATTTCAATACAAAAAAATGTTATACTCCTAAACCTCTTGGTCAAAACTTGAATGCATTGATCCTTCCTGGAAAATTTTGAATGAATCTTTTGTGCGTTCAGGGAAAGAAATTCAAGGACAAGGGACATAACCAGAAAGAGCCTATTGCTCCTCCAGCTGTCCCAGACAACGAACTTAGTCTCATCAGTGATAATGAAGGGAAACCGGAGCAGTACCCTAACTTCTTAAAACGTCCAGCTGACGGAGGAGCAGCAGCAGGGGATGGATTTGTGAGCTCCGTAAAGGGTCTCTTCAGCACTCAACGCCGCAAGGCAAAGGCATTTGTGCTGCGGACAATGAGAGGTGACGAGAATGAATTCCAGGGCGACTGGAGCGAAAGTGATGCTGAATTCTCCCCCTTTGCTCGACAGCTCACCATAACCAAAGCAAAGAAGCTTATCAGGAGGCACACCAAGAAATTCAAGTCCAAGAAAGGTTGGTGTCGTGTCCTGCTATTCTTTTAAGGTTTTTGTTTATATGTGTCCAGTTGAAGAACTCTGCCACCTTCATAACATTCCCCTGTATTTGTGCTCTCCAGGTACACAACAACTGCAAGACTCATCAGTTCCATCATCTCCGATCGAAACTCCGTTTGAGATCGAAAGTGATTCTTCCAGCGGGTCTTCGCCTTCTCCTTCGTTTGATGATTTTCCAGAAGGGTTCCAAGTACAAGGGCAAGCACCTTAAATTCAAGGATATGAAGGAGGGTCTTTAGGAACACCACCCTCCCTTGCCGTCATTTGGCGAGCTATGCAACATTAAAGCATGAGATTCTGCAGAATTAATCCTACTCCACTTGCGGGAAGGGAGTTACGCTCTTCTCTTAAGGCTGATGCATGCCTTAATATTTTTGCGGGGTTGGCTAAGTTATAGTTTTTGTTTTTCAAAATTGCATAGAGGTTCTGATAGTAGAATAGTAACTTATATAAAAGAGCTATATATACCCGTTAAAAATATGAGAGCAAATCCACCCAAGTTTTGTATAGACACATTAAAGTGTATATTCTGAAGTAAATAAATGCTTCTTCTGAGAGAGGCCATTCTATTCTTCCCCTTTGTGTAAAATCGTGAAAGTGGCAGATAGAGGTTTCGCTGAAGCCCCCAAAAGGCCATTGTATAAACTAGCTTTGACCCCGCACAACCCATTTTATATAAAGAGCTATATATATGTACACCCGTTAAAAATATTAGAGCAAATCCACCCAAGTTTTGTATAGACACATTAAAGTGTATATTCTGAAGTAAATAAATGCTTCTTGTGAGAGAGGCCATTTTGTTCTTCCCCTTTGTGTAAAATCGTGAAAGTGGCAGATAGAGGTTTCGCTGAAGCCCCCAAAAGGCCATTGTATAAACTAGCTTTGACCCTACACAACCCATTTTATATAAAAGAGCTATATATATGTACACCCGTTAAAAATATGAGAGCAAATCCACCCAAGTTTTGTATAGACACATTAAAGTGTATATTCTGAAGTAAATAAATGCTTCTTCTGAGAGAAGCCATTCTGTTCTTCCCCTTTGTGTAAAATCGTGAAAGTGCCAGATAGAGGTTTCGCTGAAGCCCCCAAAAGGCCATTGTATAAACTAGCTTTGACCCCGCATAGCCCATTTTATTCTCGTTTCAGCGTTTTGTTATTCTTGCTTGCTTTTCCTTATTAGTTTGGTTTTCCTTTATTGAAAGTTAAGCTAGTTAAAAGAACTACTCTATATATGGGTTATTTTCGAATAAGAGAAGTAGAAGAAGAAAAACTCATATTTAGTTCTCTTTATCTTTCAGTTCGTTTGATTATCCCCATGCCAATGCATCAATTGGTGTTTGAACTTGATTTGACGGAGCTAAGCTCTTAACCACTCCCTAGGCCACACAAAAAGGAAGACTTTGAAGCAGCATAGGACCTCTCGCACGCTACATTGCCCGAGGAGCCCTGAACGCCGCCGACACTGTCCGCCACAGTGGAAGGAGGCGCAGATGACCTCCCGACTCTGCCCATAAGCAACTTGATGGGGAGGTCTCCCTGTTTGTCCTAACAGAGTTCTCTCACCCGGAAACCGTGAGATTTTTCATTTCAAGTACAACACGAAGAACTTGTAGCTCTGGATGAAGCAGCTAGGGCCGTTCACGATTGATTGGCAGCACCTAAAGTTAGGATTCCCAAATGAGGAACGATGGGTATAATTGAAAGGCATCAGGAAGACTGTCATGAAGGATGAGCACTTGCAATGACCCAACCACACAACGTATCGATGTGGGCTATATGACTACCTGATCAAGAAGCCACTGTGAAAGACGCCACCCGAACTTCAAGGGCTTTCAAACTTGTTCGCTGACTTGTTTGAAAACCCCACTAGCCTACCCCCACGTCGACCGGTCGATCACCACATTTCGCAAAAGGAAGGGATCGCGGCTGAAATGTCCAACTGTATCTTTATGCATATTTCGAAAGGAGGAGATCAAACGCTGGGTAGGAGGATCCTGCGAACGAGGCTCATACGACTGAGCTCAAGTCCATTATCGACCTCTTCCCACCTTGTCAAGGATAAGGATGGTATCTGGTGTTTTACACAAATTTTTGAGCCCTAAATAACGCGACGGTCAAGGAAAGATTCCCCTTATCGATGGTGGGATGATATGCTCGATGAACTCCATGGTGCCATGTATTTCACCATGCTCGATCTGCATGCTGAGAATCTCCATATTTGGGTGAGTGAGGAAGACATACCCAAGATGGCCTTCCGAAATCATAACGGAGATTTTTTTACCTCTCATGTGTAAGTATGTTTTGGGTTTTTTTGTGATATACTTATTTGCATTAAAGATTTGGGGAACCCAATTCTAGCACCTCCAAGAAGTTTTGGACTTATTTTTCCGACATCAGTACTACCTCAAACAGTCAAACTGCGAGTTTGGTGTCCAATGGATTAAGTCTTTGGGTCACAACATCTCGCTAGATAGGGTATAGGTCGACAATTCGAAGATCTGAAAAATGGTTGTGTGGCCACGACCCAAGAAAATAATCGAGCTGAGAGGGTTTATGGGTCTAATGGGGTATTATTGCAAGTTCGTACAACACTACACTACGAGTGCACGATCATTAACTCTTTTTGTTGAAAAAAAGGGAACTTTGGCCTGACGGTAGAGGCCGAGCAAGCTATTAAACATCTCAAATGTGCCATGACATCCACACCAACTCTAGTGATGCTCGACTTTGAGGAGCCATTCATAATCGAACTCGATGCTTCAGACAAGTGGATCGGGGTGGTCCTTTCACAACGAGGGCACCCTGTCACCTATGTGAGCCACCTCATTGGACCCACCAAGGAAGGTTGGTCGACGTACCAGAAGGAGATGCCAGCTATCGTCATGGCCAACCTTCCACATCTATATCGATGAGCAGAGCTTATGTCACATGTTGGAGCGGTGGATAACCAAGCCTAATCAACATAAGTGGGTGGCCACATTAATGACTACGATTTCAAGGTTCATTACAAGCCATGTTTAACCAACAAGGAGGTGGATGGACTATGAGTGTTTTGCATGGAGCGAACCTCGAGGGGCTCAAAACTCCGGAGGTGAGCTTTTGGGACGAGGTGCTCGAGCGATGTCATCAGCAATCCATATTTACGAGAAATGCACGATAAGGCAATGTCGTTTGAGTTAAGAGATTATGAGTTAAAAAAACAAGGGTTGGTATTCTTCAAGAATCGGTTGATGCTCCCTCCCAGTTCGTCCCTCGTTACCACTATTGTAACATCCCATTTCGGCTAAACCCATATTTCGTTCTCTAGAAAATTTCACGATTTAAAATCGAGCATTTCGACACTATTTCGGCGAAAATCGGATTATCGATCGATCGGATAAGTATACGTATTAACTAATTAATTAATTAATTAATTATATATATATAAAGTGGTCGGGGCGTATATAAACAATTCCCCGTCCATTTTCAATTTTCATCATCATTTACCATTTCAACCGAGAGAAAACCAGAGAAACAGAGCACACGCGGAGCTCTCGACCCAAAATTTCAAAGCTCAAATTCTTGAGCCCTAGTGATCCAAAAATCCCGTAAGTAATGCCTAATTCATCTATTCATCGTGATTTATCGATTTAGAGCTTTAAAACGAGTTTTTGGTTCAGGAATTTCTTGAATTCTCGATAAGCCAAATTAGGGTTTCGGAGTATCCGGAAGCCTGATTGAGCCCAAATTTCATATACGAGCTTCCTGCAATGAGGTAATCAATCCTCTAGTTCTAATTCCTGAATTTCGGCTATTATTTAGGCCGGGGTCCAAACCGCTGAATTTAGCTCCGGCCAGGGTTTGATGTGTTTTTATCGAGAATTTGACCCGGAGCCTAGAACTAATATTGACGGGGATACTGCAGGGGATATTAGGACGGTCTCGGATTTTAATTCGGGGTTCGTTCGTGAAATTGACGTTTTAGTACGGGAAGGTTAAACCGGTGTTTGAACGACCAGAACTGGTGAGGGATTAGCACGGCATACCGGGTTTGTCGTATCACGATAATTATATTGATGCTTAGAATTGATCTAGGTGAACTAGAATGGCATGATTAGGGGTGTATGGATTTTTGTGCTATATGATGAACCCCGGACTGTTGTATGATATTATTGACTTGCCCTAATCGATATGAACCTTGTTTATGTGGATGATTGCATACATGTTGCCATTTGTCGCTTAACTGTTGATATGACTTCATGGTTGTTCGATAAGGGGTTTTGACATGGTGTGATATTATGGTTGTATTTGGATCCATAAGTGGTGGAATAAACTTCCCAAGGTGATATTATGATTTTTAAGGAGGATGACTTGCACGAGGGTTTATCCGGAGGAAGTGCAATTATACGACTCCTGATTTACCTATGTTGAGCCAATTGTGGCCTGGTCAAGTACATGTGCAAGTAATGAATTATGATTAAGCAATATGAGATATGAATCATGTATAAGGATACCAAATATGACTGTTGTGGTCTCACGGTCAACTACATAGTAATTAGGGCTCCCTATGCTATTACTCTATTATGATATGTATGATAGTCACACCTCTCATGTGGTGGTGACTGAAGAATTCTTATGAGATATGACCACACCCAGAGCGGTGTCGGGGTATGACTACACACATAGTGGTGTGGGGTATGTATGACCACATCCGACGGGATGTTGGGGTATGTATGACTACATCCGACGGGATGTGGGGTATGTTTCCCGGGAGAGTTATTAGCATGGGAGTAGCCAGGCGCCTATAAGTAAAACATGATAAGATGCATATGCATAAGTCAAGGTGGTTGAGTCTTTTGCCTATTGGGATGTCGGAGAGCTGAGATATGATCCCAGTGCTTTGGCTTGTTTGCTAGATGTATGGTAGGGGTATGCTCTGTTATGAACTCACGATGCTATGATTATCTCACTCAGCTATGAGCTGACCCTCTTTTATTCTTCTTCTCTGCTTATGCTATGTGTAAGTAGATCATCAGCAGCAGTAGATAAGTGTTAGGTGGGAGAGGAGCTCGAGTTGAAGCCAGGATGAGGTATGGTCTTCAACTATTCTATGCTTGGACTACTACTCGGGATTTTGGCCAGTGATCCACACCTTTTTGTAAAAATGTTTTGAGAACATTTTCATGTGCATACTAGCTTCGAATGTAGTGTGAGATATCCACAGGTGTGGAAAGTTGATGATATGTGTATATGTGTGTGGTGGTGTAAGTTGTGACAATTATGACATGTATAAGTATGGTATGTAGTTTTAGAGTACGAAACTGTGACTATGGATATGAGAAGCAATGTATATGGTTGTGGGTGTATGTCTATGTCCATGGATTTATAGTATGAGATAAATTATTTTGCAGGTTTTAGTTACAAGAACTGTTAGCCCATTACGCGAGTAATTCATGTCGAAATTTATTTGGGTAAATTTTGATAATTAATGTAACACCCGAGATTAATTCCGCTGCAATTGTATGAACAATATGATTAGGCAAAACGTATAGGGTAGGGTGTTACAACTATTCTCAAGGAATATCATGACTCAGTGCCAGGTGGCCATTCAGGGGTCAAACGACACTACTATTGGCCCAGATGGTTCAAACAATTAAGGATTGCATTTTGTACTTGTGACATATGCCAAAGAATTGAGGTGGTTGGTCTTGCACCAGCGGGTTTCCTATAACCTCTTCTTTTTTGGGACAATCTTGGGAAGACATATCAATGAATTTCATGGAAGGGTTGCCGGTTGTGGGTGTCCAAGATGGTAGCCGAGTGTTTCATCATGGGTTTAGTTCCTCATCATGGGGTTCTGATGACCAGAGCGAGTGATCGGGACAAGGTCTTTCTAAGCCATTTCTGGGAGGAGGTATTTGCACTGCTGGAAACTAAGCTATTGATGAGCACACCCTATCATCCTCAAATGGATGGTCAAACCAAGGTCATCAACCATTTTTTGAAGCAGTACCTAAGGACTAAGATGCTTTACACAACAACATCCATGAAAGTGGGTGCAACTTCTCCCATGGGCAGAACTGTGGTATAACTTGATGTACCACAGGACCATTAGAATGACTCCTTTGCAAGCCTTGTTAAAGGGGTGTCCCGTTGCCGATTGTTCCCTATAAGGAACGTACCAGTCTAGTGGTCAGAGACAATGAGCTATTGCAAGGGTGGGACGAAACCTTAGAGCAGCTTTGCGAGGACCTGGAAGCTTCAAACCACCGTGCCAAGTAGCTCGCGGATGCAAGTCGACAAGACGTGGCAGACTAAGAAGGAGAATGGGTTTTACTATGCTTGCATCTCTATTGTGTTTATGCTCGTTGTGGTGTGTTTCGAGGGGCTGGGGAGGCGGCTATTTATAGGAGTCGACCCCTAGGAATATACCCTCTAGCTTGGGGAATAAGTCGGATTAATTAAGGAAGATAATTACTTCCTTAATTAAAATAGTCGGTTAAGATAAATCCTGCGGGATTATCCTTCGAATATTTATTTTTAATCGATTATTCTTAGAATATTCCTCAGAATAACCGATTAATAATTAATTATTAGATAATTAATTTCGTTCGGAATTTCTCCAAAAAAATATATATATAGTCTCAAGGGAACCAACCAACCGGTCGGACGGACGGCGCGCGCGTGTGTGTGGTGGTCCGTTAGGTCCTCTCTCTCCCACAAAAGTGGGTCAACCCAAGGGGCATGCCCTTAGGAGAGAGGCTCCTATCTTTATACACATTTCACCAAGTAAAACTACCAATGTGGTAGTTTTTCCACTTGAGACTCTATAGCTTTCAAAGCTACTCATACATACATTTCAAACAAAAAAAATATCAAATACAAGGACAAAGATGGATGATATGATATTTTATGGCATTCGGTTAATACATAAGTCCATGGAACTACAGAAACAACAATGATGAACAACCCAATTCGTGATGCAAGTTTCCTTTCACAAGCAACCAGTATATGGGGAAAAATCCAAAAGTACCACTGTTTAAAAAAAATTAACAAAAATACCACCCCACCCAGCGGTTTTGGTCCAAATTTTTTTTGTTTTAGATCAACTCCTAACTTCGGCCAAAACTTCAAACGAACATAACTTTGCACTCGGGTATCCGATCGTAGCGATATTTTCTTTGAATCCGCATAACTTTTTGAGATCTTGCAAGCCGTAAACATTCGTATGCAGTTTGGTCCCGCCTTCGTCTCGAAAAACGTCATTTGCTACCCCGACCGAGCCTTTTTCGTTTTCGTCAAACTTTGGATGGCCATAACTTTGTGCTCCAAAATCCGAACATCATATTTTTTTTATTCCGCATAACTTTTCAATTACTACAACTTTAACATAACCATAATTTCGAAGTTCGGATTTTGGAGCATAATCAGATTTTATGATCAATATTGCAATTAACCGCAACTAACTGCTAACCACAATTTGTTGTTAGTGGTTAACTATAAACCGTGCGCGGTGTGGTGCGGTCACGGTTGGTGATTTTCCCTTATGCAGTTGCGGTTAACCGCGTTATTCAGTGGGGTAACCGCAACCGCACCGTTTCCCACCCGTAGCCACTGCAAGGAGGTGCCAAGTCGCTCCTCTCCCTTCCATCGCTCTCTACCCGGTCCAACCCCTGCTCTTCCTCCATGCCTCTGAACGCAGCAGAAGAAGATGAACCAACGTTGGGGCGGAAAAAACCATTTTGTTTCGACTGGCCTTTCTGAAGCTTGAAGATGAACAAAAATATATCTATTCCGATGTTATTTCTTCCCTCTTTGCTTCATTTTCAATGGTCTTTGTTTGGTTTTCATTGTTTCTTTCGGGTTGGACGGAAAACAGAAGAAAGAGCGAAGAAGATGGTAATCATGCTTAGGGATGACAATTTTGACCTGACCTGGTTTACCCAACCTGTTTGCCTGTTTTGGGGGCGAACATGGGTACTCTCATCGACCCGACCAGCCCTGACTCGCCCCGTTCTCAACCCATTCTTGCCTCATTTACCTGTAATCTTTGTCAAATTACTTAGGATTTTCCTTTTATTATCTCATATTTTAATCTATAATAACGTTGTAAATAAGTGAAAATATCAATTTCTCCAATAATTAAATATATTTATCATATAATGTTTTGTTTTTTGGTTTTTAGTGAAAATATAAATTACATAGACATTGGTATGGGTATCGAGATAGCCGCCCTGGACCTGCCTCATTGTCATTCCTGATCATGCTTCTCCTAGCACAGCCACGTCAATTTGTTTAGTTTATGGGGGCTCTGGATACGGTGCATAATGGTTATGCACCTATCAGTAACTAAATCTCGACCCTTCTTTTTAAGTAGGCTCTGAAAATCCAGATATAAGGGTGGAGAATGAAAGGCATTTTTCTCCCTTGTTTTCT